AGTAGCAAAAATCTCTTTTAAAAGTAGCGAAAACTTTACCCAATCCATTATATTGAGGAATCATTGGTAGGAGTAGCATAAAGATGGTTTTTAGAGACTCTTCAACAAAATAAGTACATTTAGTACATTTGTACCTCTAGGAACTGCTCTTCTACGTAAGTTACATTTACTGCCAGTTCTGATGCTTGCATGCTTGGCTTTCTTAAGAGGTTGATGCAACTCTGAATCAAGCCCTGAGTCTGCAAGGCACAGCTATTGCTAGGAAGGCACATAACCTCTATGTGCACTTGACCAGTTTCAAGTTTTTTTGCAATTCACTTTACTCTTGAATGCTGGAGGTAATGATGGTATATTAGCCCACAGCAGTGGCTGTTTGTGTGCTGGTTTAAGTTTGTATGTGTATAAAATACAGTTTTAATACACTTACTAGTGGTCCTTGAGCATAGGAGTCTGTAGTTTCAATAGTATCTACAAGYTATGTGAGCCATATAGTTTTAAGTTTGCTAAATATTGCTTTGCAAGTGCAGGCAAAAGCTGTGTCTTGGACTTGGCCTCCAGCTTGCAAGCAGCAGACCTACAATGRAAGTATATAATACATTGTGTTTTAAGAAGGTCTGAGGCAGCTACAGGAGAATCACCATGTTGTATAACTTTTGGAAAAGAAAATTAGGGCATAGGGTTAAAACAGGGAAGAGARAAAGTAGTAGTAATGACAGCTGGGTCCATAACGGCTATCATGTTAAGTCTTATTAAGGTAGAAAGATTTCCTCAGCTAATGCTCTCAAATATGTGCTGGGTTTAGTCATATAGTTATTGCCATGGTCTCATGTTCAACAAGCGTGTCCTTGTTGGGAGTTGGGTAGTGCCCCTGTGGATGGTGCTGCAGCAGAAGCAGGGCACTGCAAAGCTGCTGTGACAGTCTCTGCAGCAGTGTTTTAGAATCTGGGCAGTTTGCCACTCTGTGAGCCTGAGGAGGAGGAAACAGAGAAGCAGCACTGCTCCTGTCGGGCTGCCTCCCTGCGGAGAAACAAGAGGGAGTAACACACTTTCTTTAGATCTTAGAAAAAGGGTCAAGGAAATTCAAAAGGAGCTACTGCTGCAGCAGTGCAAAAGTGCAGGCAGTGAAGGATTGTGAAGAGAAAAGAAGAGGAAGAGAGGAAACCTGCTGTGAGAAATGTGTAATTCTGTTAATGGTGAGCAGGTGGTATTGCTAATGAGAGACCCCTACACTCACAAGGGAAACGTACCCTGCCAGGGGCCAGCCAGAATATATCTCTGAGGGAGCCACTTGARTCAGTCCCAAATGCATGAAGGACAGATTTCAGACATCCATGCTAAATGCAACTAGAGAATGTGTGGATAAGTGAACAAAGCACTAAAATTTAAACATAAYTCCTTTCTTGTGTCTGCTCTGTGCTTTCTTTATCCGAACCAGGTCCAGAAGCCCAGAAAGAAGGGCAAGCTAAAACCCTCTTCACAGCTGCTGGGAGGTATATGTTTCGAACCRCTTTCCAACCTGAGTTCTAGTCTTCCAAAGTAAATTCCTTGCACTGGAGTTTGCATGATTTCTAGTTTGGAACTGGGTTCTTCCATGCTTCCAAATGTTCAGCTGCCATAAAAGCATTCAGGAAACGATCTCAAATGCCTGCAAATACATGTTTGTTAAAGTGGAAGACAATTTCTTCATGTAGSTTCATATATTCCTAAACCCCTATGTACCTCTGGTGTCTGGCAGTTGGCCGTCTAGGGTTCATTTTCAGTGGGCCTAGTGAGTATTGGAGAGGCTGCTTTAATGTGGAAATGAGACTGTGTTGGGCCATCGTGGTGAGTTCACTGTTTTGTCTGTCTGCATTCCCCAATGGTAAACCAGGGCCAGGGGTTTGGATGAGAAAGCAGGAGGAATTTCTTACTTTTGCTCAGTTTGGAGATGGCCAGRTTCAAGCCTGAGCAGTGTGAGGAGGAGGTAGAAGAGGAGGTGCAGCTGCTCCSAGGGCAGTGGGACAAGCTGCAAGGAGAGCTACTGGTCAGTCCTTGAGCTGGCAGTGAGAGCAGGTGCTGTTCAACCCAACTGGACAGAAACATGTCAGATGCATGTGGGTGGGTGGTGCTGGGAGCTGGAGGTGCCCATGTTTTTAATGCTTGCTCTGGGAGGACTGTCTGAAAGGAAAAATGTGTTGGCTGTGTCGAGCCAACACTTCCCTACATCATATGAATTATTCAAAGAGGAGAAAGAAACTGTAGCCAGTGCTGCAACAAAAGAGACTGCAGCAAAGCCAAACTCTCAGCTCCTAAGTATGCTCCTTTTCCATCTCTTYTCCCCTCCTGGTTCACACTAGGAATAAAGGATTTCAGTGAAAGCTGCTTACCTGGCTCACATAACCCCGAAGAAGTGAATTTTCCAACATCACCTTCCTCAAAGTGAAACTGGGACAATCCAGACGTTTGGTGTCTGTATTATAGGGATTTCTAAAACCCAGAGACTGAGGGCATATGCAAGGAGCCAGGAGAGGAAAGGAGGGGTGGATGGATAGTCCTAACACTGCTTTGGGCCAGATTTACATCCCACTCAAGCATACTCACTCAGTCCAAACATGCAAATGAGGGGTCTGAAAGTGAAAAGAACTCAAATCTTGTTCACTCCTCTGGAGGAATCACATTCACACTTTCTTTTTTTCTCCTCTCTCTCGTATAGAGTCTGGCTAGACCAAGTTCTGAACAGAAGTTGGAGGGAAAGTGTGGCCCCTGAGCCTGGAAGGACAAGGACTGTGTAGGGCAGGAGGGAGAGACCAGAGCCACGGTCCAGTGCCAATCTGCCGGCAGTGCCTTGGGTTAGGATTGGGAGAGCCAAAGAGCCTYGGGCTCCGGGGACACTGGGGCTGCAAAAGGCCTGCGCAGGCCATCCCGGCAGGGCCCCAACGTTGCTGCTCCTACATCTCTCTGTGCTGGAAAACCTGTGGGGTTGGGTTTGGCGCTGGGGTTAGGGTTAGGGTTACACTTAGGGCTAGGGTTGAGAGATCTAAAGAGCCTGGAGCTCCAGGCACACTGGTGCAGCAAAGGGCCTGCGGAGGCCATCGCGGCAAGGCCCCAAGATGGCTGCTCCCACAGCTTTGTGACATGGCTGAGCCAGGCAGTGGGGTCGGGAAATWAACTAGGGCTAGGGTTAGGGTTCTGCCTAGGGTTAGGGTTCAGAGATCTAAAGTGCCTCGAGCTCCAGGCACACAGGGGCTACAAAGGGCCTGCAGAGACTATCATGGCCAGGCCCATATTACTGCTCCTCCATCCTTCTGACCCAGCTTTTGGGTTTGGGTAATTAACTAGGGCTAAGGTYAGGRTTATGCCTAGGGCTAGGTTTGAAAGATTTAAAGAACCTTGAGCTCCAGGAACACTGGTGCTGGAAAGCGCCTTCCAAGACGATCACAGCAGGGCCCCACCACTGGTGCTCCCGCACCCTTCTGATCTGTATCCCCCATAGSGGKGGGCACCTCAGCCCCAGCGACAAAGCTGCCCTGAGGCGTAGGCCTAGGCCTGAGAGAGTGTGAAGCCTGCAGCCCCAGGGATACTGGCACTGGAAAGGTCATTGCAAGGGTATTATGGCAGGCTGCTGCCAGAGACTGGATGTTGCATGGCTTGAACCATGCTGGGGTGCCAGTGCCTGTGTCTGGTCTGGCTCAGGGACACCATGTAGGTTGTGGTAGAACAGGAGCTGTGGTTGATGGTTTTGCACCTTCCTGCCCTCCATATGGAAACTCTCAGCTGATGACTTCCAAGGGTAATCTATTCTCATCCKGCTGTTGGCCTGCTGAGGAGCTGACAGGTTCTTAATTTAACTGTCCTTGTAGGAGTAAGGTAATGTGCCAAACACAAAGCTCTCAATTTTTCCAACAGTCTACAAGTTTTCTTCCTTTCCCCTCACCTAAAGAGAGGGTCTGACTGTGGAGGGAGTATATGAAAAAGATGGGATTTCTTGGTTTTTTGGTTTTTTTTTTTCTTTTGAGGGAGTTTGTTTGTTTGTTGTTGTTGTTATTGTTATTGTTGTTGTTTGGAGTTTTATTGCTTGTTGTCTGTAACCCAAATCCAATATCTGAGGCCTTGCCAACTGCAGAAATTCTTCCTTTGATTCCTGCCAATGTGTAGGCATGATGAGTGGAGTGTTGGGCTGCATTTCCACAAGAGTTTTCATTAAGTACTTTCTGCCTTATGATGTATGAAGTATGATGGGAAAAGCGGGTTGTTGTCATGAAGTCACATTGAGTCGGACTGGTTCACCTCTTTGAGATGCTTTGTGTTTCAAGAATGCAATGGATTTAATTTATGGCTGGTCTGCCATTGCTTATTCAAACAGCATTGCACCAATGTACCTCTATGTCTGTGTGCCCAAGGGCCCAGCAACATCAATAATAAATGACCTGACTGGGGAAGGCAGTTTTGGGTTCAGACCAAMAAGGGCATCATGGTAGGGCCTTCCCCAGGCAGGGGGTAAATAGTGAAGGAGAACTGTAGCTTGCAATAATTCCCTCCCTGCAGAAAGGACTCATAAATATTTAATAAACTTCTGGCCCTTGCCATAGATGAGGTCTTATTAGCGAACTGGAGTGGCTTGGGGACAGGTATTGTGTCTGTTACTATAGCACCACCTTGCACAGGATCTCGTGTGAAAGAGGCAGGGAGGGAGGGAGGGAAGGAGGGAGGGAGAGGGAGGGAGGGACACACTGAGGATGAGCCCCAGCGAGCCAGCCTGAGGTTTGCCTGTGGAGCAGGCAGTACATCCTGCCCAGGGACGGGCCCCCAGGAGCACCTCCATCTCGTCAGCTGCGGCCCCCGGAGCAGCTGCCCCAGCACAGGCACCAACCAAGCACGGCAGAGCTGCTCCAAGTGCCGTGCCGAGTCCCTGAGTGCGTCTGAGGGGCTTTGCTCCAGATCTCCTTCTGCCTTTGGAAGAKCTRATTTTTTTTTTTTTTTTWAATTATWTTTTAGCYRCTCCTTTCTTGAGCAACTGGTTGTTATTGCAGAGGTCACCGAGGGGACTGGTGGAGGCTCCCAACTCTGGCATTGGGAAATATGACAGCAGAAGTGAATGCTTGTTAACATAAGGGATTGACTGAAGAAGAAAGAMAAAATGCCTTTCAAAGGGCTCAGYTCACTGAAAGAAAAATTTTTTAACCCAGGAAAGGAAGAGGTGAAGAACACCATTAGTGACACGCTGGGGAATCTGAGAAGGTAAAACCCAAAAAAAAATTCCCAGATGGGTCCATTGATGCAATTTAAGAGAAATGCAATATAGAAAAAATATATAAATATAAAACAGAATATAGAGTTGCAAAAGTAATATCTGAGTTCAGGGAGTGAGACATGTTGCTGTGAGACAGATGATGTAAAAGAAGCAGTTACAACAGCAAATGACTATSGTTCATAGAATATTTATATTTAACAAAAAAGGGTGAAAATAAATATAAAGTATTCTAATATTAAAAAGAGTTTGAAAAAGTGTTTAATTAAAAAACTTTTAAATAATTAAATAAGAATAATTCTGTGGTTTAGCTTGCATGAGAAAAAGCAATAATTTAATGGGAATTAACAGTCCAAAGTGATGATGCTCTTGAAATCAGACTTAATGTCGTAAATTACAGGTTTGGGTTTTTTTAAAACTTGTTCCTAATCAGTAAGAGAAAGTGTATTAGAGATGGGTATGTGTGTGTTTACTCAGACTAGGAAATTAGAGAGAGAAAAAAGAGAAGCAGCTGTTTGCTAGCAAAAGCAGAAAAAAAGATTAAAGGCTTTCATCTTAACTTGACAGTTTTATGAACCAAGARATGAAGATTTTTATTTTTAGCTAAATGAAAATCTGATGTAAGACATGACCAGTTTTATAAATGGAAAGATATTTCTCATTTAAATACAAGGTTATTTCTGTTAGTAGGGGCTGCTGACAACACTTATTTGTGTAATCAATAGATGAGAGCCAGAGTGGTTACTGGCATTTCTTCCATGCTTAATATTAAGTGTTTTAAATCTTTGTGTGGRTCAGGCCAACATTTTAACTGAAGGTGTTTCTAGTGACTGACTTCCATTTGCTTTAAATCCACCAGTTTGCCTTCTATTGGGATTGCTATTTTGAGTCAAGAAATAGTTCTTGGCACATCTAAACATGCCTTTGATCCCAGGAAAACCTATAAGAATGTCTRTTTGTTATACTATAGCATATACATTTTTAAGAGATTCATAATAAGCACTGGTAGATTGCAGTTACTCTATTTCTGTATCATGTGAACAGAGTATCGGTATTCTACACAGYTCCTACTTAACTTTTATTAATTTACAATGTTATGGACAAGTCTGACGTTTTGCTTTTTTGACTTTTACAGTACTCTATAGTAATTCCAGGGAATCTGWTTATATTTTAGAACATTGAGTGAAGTAATTTATTCAGTGATAAATTCTCTTTGCTGTGGGCTCTGYTTGCTAGTTTGATCAAATACACATAAGGTTTGTATCTAGTGATATRTGATGTGTCAACATACCGGTTCACTTCAGTTTATCCAGATTGCTCTCCTCTTGAAACCGTGYATCAAAGATGTCATGCTGGTTCCTACACAGGTGATAGTACAGGCAACCAACATCAGCAACACTGCTTCTGAATCAAATTGACCCAAACATCACTTGAGATGCAAGAAAATTTGCTGAACTTAATTATTTTCTGTTTAAGACATAGGTATCCCTGTGCCTTCCTTAGATGTACCAATCAGCAGAGGAAATAATCTATAAAAGTCTTTTTTACCATGTCCACATTCAGATCTAAGTAAGAATTGCTGCAATTTGAGCAGTCTTGTAGGACATGCACAGTCATATTTGAAAGTTTCCATAAATTAATGAAACATGCATATTTTTTAATTTAAACTTCATTCTCTGCAGCTTAGTCTACAAATGAGAGCATACACTTGTGTTTTTACATGATGGTACATGTACTTATATACCAGCTGCAACCTCGACTTTGCTCTTCRTGCAATCCCATTGGCTTTAATGTGKTGTAAATGAGCAAAGAATTTGGTTTCTCTTCTAGCATTTGATCGATGATGATTTATAATAATGCACATCCTTGATTAGACCCCCAAATGTGATTTCACTGACTGTGGTGGGTTGATGTGAGGTCAAAACTGGCACAGTGGGTAGAAAAATACTTTTTARTTTTGGTAAATATGACTGGTCCATGCCTTCCTGCTCCATTTCCAGTCTCTTGCAAACAGCAGAGCAGACCCAACAAGAGCTGCTTCTCCATAGCAATTGTCCACAGTACAGCTCAAGTGCTAAAGCACAAGCAGTATAAAGCAACTTTCCACCTCCTCACAGGTGTGCTTATTTGGTGGGTGCTGCAAAATAAAGGTCTGCTCACAGGAGGTGATTTTATGGTGTCTGGACCCTGGAAAGGAGTCAGGGGGGACTGAACTGGGTGGCTCTAGAGCCATTCTTTCTTTAGATTACTGGCAGCTGTTTCATTTGAAAGATCTTAGAAGATGTTAAAAAAATTAATGCTTTGTAGAAAATATTTTTAATTCTTTTTTTCTTGATTAATTATATACAATGGGGCAGGAAAAAAATTAGAGGACTTAAGGCTTTAGTGAATGAAGATGAGAGTTGAGCCTCTGTAATTCTTATATTTCCCAGAAAAGAAAGTTTTTTCATGCAGATTTTCTTGACAGACACAAATACTTTGGTCYTTGTGTGAACTTAGTGCAGTCAAAGAAGAAGTCAAAGACTTCTAAGAAGCAGTAAGATATTAGGCTCTGCCAGCTCTAAGCATTTCAGGAGTCTTGGAGCAGATCACAGCAACTGTGGACTTACTGACGAAGTGACTAAGTGGGTTTACAGCTCAAAAATGTCACTTTCAATGTGAAAAGACACATGAGCCGTGCCACATGGCTTCTGTTTGAAATCTGTRCCCTGATAGGTGTAGTTCTGACTGCTGCAGATGTCCCTTGGTGAATTAGCTTAAATTACTGAAAATTGCACCTTGAAGCTGGGCAATAGACGCTTGCATTGCACAGGGCTCTTCTGACTGTGCTGCGTTGTCATGTTAGTCCTTTCAGAATTTCCCTTTCCACACAAGTAGAGAGAGTTTAGTGCCTCCCAGACCGTACAGTGCTGTGAACACAGAATCCAGCTGATTTGCGAGTTGTGCACTTGTTCCATGTTAGTGCAAGYGCAGCGCTGCACTGCGCTGCAGCACCCCACGGCAAACATCCCTGTGCTGAGGAGAAACTGCTCTACAGCCTGGGAGTGCAACACCTGCGAAATGCAGCCCCTTGGTGTCTGAGACTTGCTGTGGGTTTCATGCAAACACCATGCAGAAAACAGCAGGAGAGGTCCCCCGCCCTGAGTAACTTAAAAAGAGTTTGCATGTCTGTACTGGGATTTGGTACCAGTGCATMAAATACGGATTTACTAAGGAACATTATCACCTGGGCAAATCCTTGAAGGGTTAATTAGATCTCAAAAGATTGTATCTGCTTTTGGATTAACAATATTTTTGGATAATCAGTGTATAGGTTTCTGACGTTATGCAGGGATCATTGTAATTGTTGGATTTATAGGTGTGAGGTACAAGACTGCAACCTGGTGAAATCCATTCTAGAATGTGTTTTAACACATGACAAATATTAACATTTGCCTGTTACTGTAGAATCGATGAGTTTTTAATCAAATGAAATTAAATTCTAGTACACCTAATTTATCATTTAAAGAAAGAACTAACTCCTCTGCTAAAATCCCCTTAAATACAGAATGCTGAATGCATATGTGCTATAGCAATTTTATTTATTCTTGGTAGGAATTTTTAAAATTTCTTTCATTCTTTCAAAATTCTGTGTATGCCAGAGCAGGTATTCAATAAAAAAGAGAAATTTTGCATAMAGTTATTATGACATTTGGGCACAGAATCTGGATGCAGATACCTTCAATGTAGCTTTTTTTACTTGCCAAGTATTGTATGTTTGCTGGGAAAAGGAAAAACAGATCTAAGGACTGAACATTTCCTGTGCGGGAAAATGCACCCCTGCATCTCCTGCATGAGACAGATAATTAGAGGAGAACACTGGCCCTGGAGCAGTTTTCTTCKAAATCACTGGTGTACAACTAGAGAAAATTTTCAGTGACACTATCGAAATATATGGATCAATTGGAAGTTAAATTTCCCATAATTTTATGCAGTTGCAATATCTTTGTTATACACCTGTTTAATAAAATAATACCAAAAAGCCAGTGCAGACACTGGCTCTGTGAATGCCTGCACCGCTCTAATATCTGCCGTTTTGGAGCGCTTTTGAAAAATAGTTTTCTCCAAGGCAAACCTGGTATAGAGGCATTAATATTGATCTTTGGGGGTATGAAGTATACAATGTGGATTTGGGATYATGGATCAGTCCTCAACTTGCTTCTTTTGATTAGTCAAATACAGTAGCAGAATAATTAATTTCTCTGCAGAGACAATATTGGTCTGTAGTTCTAGTCCTAGGTCACCACTTCTAGCAGTGAATTTGGAACAGAAGAATGTTTTCATGCCTATCTRAATTGACAGCCAGCTTAAAATGTCCAGATGTTTTGGCTTTGCATGAAGTGTCTAACCTTTTTCAGCTGCCCAAAACAATGCAACCACTAAAGTCTAACATCTCTCTTATAAATAGAGCCTGGTAAAGRTAAAAAAAATTGAAAAATTGTTAATTGATTTGATTCCATCARTATCTTAGATTTAATTAGAATAAAACAATTAAATTATTTCTGTTGGCTTGTTAATAACACTTTGGAGRTGACAACAGTTCTAAAAATAATTATTCAATAGTTTTTTTTTAATTCCTGAGGTATTYATTTTTGGTATTTCATTGTGTTTACACCCACTTCTATTAAGACATAGAGCATGGAATGTATGGTTTCTTCTTTTTAAAGTGCCTGACTGAATTAGTACTCCCATTTCACTAACAATTCTGTTCCCTGCAGGGGAATTGTAAGATCTCAATCACCCCCAATAACACTGCAGTAAGATGCATTTTCTGTGTTACTTGCTTTAATGCAAAATCTTTGCCCCAGTCTGACTGACAATGAGCTAAGAAGCTAACTTTGCAGTGGACACTGTTTTGAGAAAGGAATTAAATGAAATAATTCCAAGAGTTCCCTTCTGGCCCAAAACCACTGTGATTCTAGTGTTTCTTGAAAATGTCAGCTGATGGACTGTAGCATGCTTATTTTATTTTTGCTAAGACTATGGCTGAAATAATGGACTTATATTGTGATGTAAAAAGGAATAATATAGTAAATGATGCACCCGTTAGCTCTGAAGCCTAAAAGTGATGAGATTTTCAGTAGAACTTTATATTGGCAAGATATATTTAAGTGCACAAGAAGCCATACTTACCCCCTATATCTGTGAAATTTAGTGTTGAGTACTAGCTACTAAATTATGGGTAGTACATTAGGCTTACAACAACTGGAGAAAGCTGTGATTAAACCAACACTGTCCCAAAAAACCCAACCAGCTACTGTGTAGATCAGTCAGATGTAGCCCATCCTTGTATGCTCTGTCAACATTTCTTTACARTTGATTTTCATGTGGAAAACCAAAGTACATTAGATTTCAAATACACTCAGCCAGATGTGTGAAAAAAGGAAATAAGTTATTCCTTATCAGAAAAGAGGGAATTAAATAATTTCATCATCTTACATGGCAAGCTGGACTTCCTTCAGATTAATTAGCTGTTCATATTTTCACAGTACTCCATGTAACTCCATGGCAGACACAAAAGGAGCTGGACCCTGAGCTTCATTGTGATGCTGAAATTGAAAGGCTACTGATTGGGGCCTCCCTTAGTAAATGCATAACCTTGAGCTCATGRGTAATGCTCAGTGGACTAGTCATGTATTCACAGTTACCCATGCCCTTACATGTTTCAGAATGTCAGAAAAAACATACTCTGCATWTWAAAAAAATGCATGGAAAGACAATGTTAGGAAAGGAATTACCTAGCTCTGGTCTGGTGGGTGTGTCTAGTTCTTTCTTACCTCATGTTTTCTACCAGAGACTTTACCTGGTCCTGCAGCATGATGTTAACAGCCCTAATCAGATTGGGAGACTAAATTATTTTTTTAATTGCACTATTATGCAATTCTAGATTGCATGGAAGTGCCATTTTGTTTAATATGAATCTCTCAGCTAGATTGCTTGYAGCAAAAGGAAAGGCTGGATWTGCAAAGCCTGAGAAGCTGCACCCYTGTGTTAGTTGTAGCTGATGGRCARCCTCTCACAGGCTGATATGGCTYGGTGCCATTTGCTTCTATTCTGAGTAAGTGGGAGCACCCCCATGCCTGACACCTTCCCTCCCAGTTCYTCCCAACTCCACTGCAGTTGCCACACCAAATTTGATCCGAGGCAAAGCCCATTGAGCTTCCATTGCTGAGGGGTGATGAATCAGCTGCCCAGAAATTCTCTGCCTGCCTTCAAATCTCATTTCATAGTAAGTATTTTACACAAAATTCAACATGTTCTGCAATAGGAGTTGCAGGGGTGCACTTTGAAGCAAAATCAGTCCTCGTAGTGACAGGATATTTCAGAGAAGAGGGAATACCTGACTTCGAATGCCTTCGAATGCCTTCGAAAGGCAGAGAAAGTCTGGACCTGTCACTTTTACATCTTTAATGGGGCTCTGATGCTAGAGACTTCTCTTCTCTGCCGTACAGCCCTGATTTTTGTCTCACATGAGAAAACAAATTCCAGAGTTTGGGGCAGAGTGATATCATGCTTTGTGTTGTATTTGCCCTTTTCTTGAAACCTACTGGGAGCTCTGCTTAGTAGCTCTAGTTAKAAATTATGGTTAATTTAATCATATGTATATTTTCCTAAGAATCAGTGGAATCTATCATGACAGRCCTCCAGTTAGGTGTCATAGTTATGCTCATAAATAGCCTGTGAACATTTTTGCAGCTAGGTGTCTGGCTAGATGGCTCAGATGTGCGAACTTCAGAGGTCACTCTGGAAAGAGCAGTCTCTGCTAACCTTTCTYTCTTCATCGGTGTAGGAAGATTGATGGCACCAACGTGGAGGAGGATGCCATGGAGCTGACAGCAGAGGGGCAGCCTGTGCTGGCGAGCAGCCGCCGGCCAGCAATGTGTGAGTGCTACTGCTGTGGCCTGCCCAAGCGCTACATCATCGCCATCATGAGCGGCCTGGGCTTCTGCATCTCCTTTGGCATCAGGTGCAACCTGGGCGTTGCCATTGTGGAAATGGTCAACAATAACACTGTCTATATTGATGGGAAGCCAGAGCTGCAGGTGAGAAAACATCTTCCTTTCACTCTTCTGAGCAGATCCCATTGCAAAATCACCAACGTGCCACATAGCAAAGTCCTGTGTATGCATAAATTAAAAAACTGAAGGAGGGRTACACATGAGCCTTGATGCATATAGATGTGGAGGCACTTAATTCCTATTTATGTGATGAAGTCACATTACAAATCTGTAAGATCTGAGAATTTGCAGTGTCATAGAGAGGACGTAAGTACCTGAAATGAGAACTGAATTACTTTGCATGTCTACCAGGTCCCTGATCTGTCAGTTGTAGACAGATTTTGCTGTGGTGGCAGAAGCTTTTGCTATTCGCTATCTTTTGGGGAAAAGTGTTCTGATGCTACTGCAGAAGGAATTATTAATTATTTTATGTAGCACTGCAGCCACTCTTCATGTCAGTGGATAGTTTTCTGGATCTTAAAGCAGTCACTGGCAGTAAGGCATCAGGTTTTTGACAATGTGGATTGCTGTCTGGATATATTAAGAGCTAGGTACCAAGCTACTTWTGAATTTGCAGTAGATGGATGTGATCCACAGCAGATTCTACACAGCTTTATCAATGCACCCAAGCAGGTTCAAGTCATACCTTAATGTTGCCTGCCCTGCCTTGGTATTTGGCTGTGATGTTGAGTGTCCCTTTAYGGACTTTATGAACTTGAATCTCTACATTTTCTGTAATTGTTGACTTAGTTTTGGATGTCTTTTTGATGTTTTTGTCCTAACAAATTCACAGGAATCTTGACTYTTGAATTAAATGCTATGCAATTATTCATCAGCTTTTCTCCTAGATATTTTAACTTTGGGTAAAGAAGAGTRCAGAAAATGTCTATTGTAAATTTCCAAAGTTAAAAGTATGCCAGTCTCCATGACTTATTCTCACAGGAGCCATGCTTAGACTTCTTCCTGAATTTGTATTTATTCAGTCTAATCCCTGTTCCCTGTGGTCCTGGTGGAAATTCCAGGTTCTGCACTTAAGCAGGAGATAGTAGGTGCCTGCATAGGCTGGGAAAGTCAGAAGAGGAGGTTTYAGGAAATGGGAATAAATTCCTTCCCAATCTAAACTCATAGTGCTTGGGCATGAGCACCTCCTGAATGAGAAAATATTTCCATATCTCATGGGTTTTCTGCCTTCAGAAATTAACGATATCTTGAAACTCAGCTGGAAATCACTAGTAAAAAACTAGATGTTTAAACAGAARTGTTTCAGCACAGGAAAGTGGAACACATCAAAATGCATCTTAATGGGGAGGAAAACCCTTTAATCCTCTGTAAGCATGTCTGGCTAATTAATGCCATCTCCCTGCAGGTCACGCAATGAGCTGTTTTTTAATTTGCTCCTTTGTGAGAAAAAAAAATCTATGTAGTGGGAAAAACTGTTCTTATTTTTACATGCAGAATATATATATATATATAAAAGAGATATTAAGCCTTATCACTGTATTGTCAATTCTCTGTGGCATTTTAGTGGCAGTTTTAATTCTGAATTTAAAAYACGTCTGTGCTGCTTCCTCACAGAATGCTTAGCCACCTTTTCCTGACATGTGATTAGCATGAAAACAATTATAAAGCACAACATTATGACTTCTTATTGCTCCAAAAGAGTTCTTCAGAGCTAAGGGCTCATGGAGAAAAAGTGGGCCCTGTCCTTGCAATAGTGTATTTATACTGATTCAGGCCCAGAATGGAGGGCAGAAAGGGCACCTTGGATCTCCCTATCTGTGCTTTTTTCCCTCTGTGATTTGCATGGGGCTTTGGCTATCCGTTTTCTGAATAAGGTGTGTCAAAATGTCTTCAGAAAATAGAAAAGTCCTTGYTCAGGAGGARCCTCAAGAAGACTTAAATACTTAGWATTCAAAGATGAGGTATATGGTAAATGCATTTCTCTTGACTGCAGGCATTTTTGACTAGGAACCAGCTGTGACCAGCCTATAGTTGGCCTCCTGTATCCAAATCCAGCCCTACAACTGGCATCCCTTCTAATAAAAGATAAACTAGTCGCTGGCTACTGTGTCCTAGTTTTATTTTCAGATTGCCTTGTCTTCAGATATTCTCCTCACCCCCAGCTCTTTTCTTCTCCCATGCCATTTAATCATGACAGTAGATGGTCAGAGTTTGGCCCTGACGGGGAGAAYCATGAACAAATCTGAAGCAACCTTGCTAATCTTGGGGAAATAGGATGCCATTGAAAGGCAGCAGGTCCTTCTTATAACTGTGAGCAGTCTTGAAAACAAAGGTTTCAAGATTAAGGAGCYCAGGGGGAAGCAGTGGCAAGTGACCAAGTTGAAGGTCCAACATTGGCTACTTTGTGGCTGCACTTGACTGACAGCTAAGGGCAAAAGCCATAATCTCACAATGGAATTGAACATCCTTTTGCCTTAACTGGGGCTTTCAAACTCAGCAACCCTGAGCAGCCAGTGTAAAGAGGCCTGGTTTGGAGCATGGAGTGATTTCTGTGTGACTTCTTAATTACCTTACAATCAGTATGCTTCATCTTACAGCATTTGTCCCATTTCCTTTACAGWCAGCCCAATTCAACTGGGATCCAGAGACAGTGGGACTCATTCATGGCTCTTTTTTCTGGGGTTACATTGTGACACAAATTCCAGGAGGGTTCATCGCAAACAAATTGGCTGCTAACAGGTAAGAAGACAATAAGCAAAAGAATTAGGCTTTAGAGCCTGGAAATTGTTTTACACTGTGTAAATGTCAATTACTAAAACAGTGAATTAATATGTTTCAGGAATGCAAATCTGAATCTGAACATGTAGTATTTATGTCTGTAATAAAAAATGGGACAAGATTTCCGTTATGGCTCTCTCGCTGATTCTTTCAATTTCACTCATTCATCTCAAATATTTACACATTTCTTCTCTAAACAATAATGTTTTCTGGAAAGGGTTAGGAAAATGACACCTAATGCTTCCAACAGTGGTTGAAGCTTTTGACATTAAGAAGTTGTCTTAGTGCTTTTTAGCTCGACTTGACACTAAACAGTAGTTTTCCAGCAGAGTTTGACCTTTCTTCTTTAAAATTTCCTGTGGACTGAAGCTGGGCATGAAGGAATCACAGAGTAATTTATATTCTGAAGTCAAAAATACATCCTTGCACACACAAATATCCTTGCCCTGTCTGGATACAGTACTGACTGCCATTAAGATTGCATAGAACTTCTAATGGAGCCTCCTGATTTCTGCTTGGTGATCTCTCAGAATCTGTACAGATTTCTTTTATGATCAATGTGTTTGTCAGCCAGTTTTTATTATGTTTTTTAAATTCAGCTGCTTTTGAAAATATGAATAAGGAAAGTAGTTAGTTTTTTGAATGTTAACTTTGATTTTGGGCTTTACTTCGAAAGGTCTTCAGAACTTTGAACATGATCTCAAGAGAGACAGATTTAGTCTGAAGAGAGCTAGTTGTGAATGAGCTTATGAGATGTGCACATTGAGGGCATTTGAGATCATCACATTAAAAAAAAAAAAAGAAGGTTGGTACTAACTTCATTCTCTGCGAACAAATGTGACTTATCTGCAAATACTGACAGAATTGGAAAAGGTCTTTAAGATCAGTTACATAGTGTACTTTGCCCCAAATCAAAGTACTTTGCTTTCTGCATTCTGTAAAGAGTTATAGGGGTTACAAGGCTGCCTGGATGTTCTTCTCACTCATATGCCCTTGGGGAAATTACTCCAGAACAGTCATCCCATAGAACTGCCCATACTGCTCAGTCCCAACTTCCCTCTGTCCATAACCAAARTTACTCAGACTTCAGTTTGCACCTCTTCTTCAACACWGTTAACATCCTCAATTATTCATTTSTCTCTCACATCACAGTGCCTGGGCAGAATATTTTTCCATCTGCCAAATAAGCCAAACAAATTAGCTAAGCTTAATCACTTCTCCAGCCTTTCTAGTCTTGCCACCAGCTTTTGTAGCAGACGGGCTCCAAAACACAGATGCGCACACTGTCGGCTGAATAATTCAGCATATTATTAGTTTGGCTTTTGTTTCCTTAATTTACTTGCAAACAGTAAAAYCAACCATGTTTATATTGTAACTTGATGAATTCTGTCAGTAGACTGCTTTTTTAAGCACATGCCATGCACAAGCACAGAAAAATCTACATGTCTCTCCATGAGAGAGGTAGCTCAAAGTGCAACTCAGTCTAACACTGTACTACAACATCACACTATGCATTTGACTATCATAACTGCATTTAGTAGTAGAATTTGCTAAGGAACAAAAATAGCTCAAAAGCTGACCTCAAAGAGTATTTCTATTTGCAGAAATAGGATTCATTAAGTCCCTGGTTTTCCTTTATTCCTTGTTTACCCAACCRATTTCGGCTTAGGTAGGTTCACCAGAGGTGCCAAGTTTCAGTTTCAGAGTGGTTGTTTGCTAAGACACAGGGCAGGAAACCAGGAGCTCTGTGGCCAATGAACCCACCACCCCTAGAAAGAGAAAAGCTTTGTTTCATCCCAGCTGCACTCTGGAAATTAAATTCTATCCTATTACYCACTTTACAGATTTAGGCAAAGACTCTTTTGCTGCCTGTTTAAACTGTGCTTAATCACAACCTTGAATATATATGTATAGACGAGCCATTCCGTGCATTTCTCTAATGCACATAATTATCTGTAACAATGTGGGATTCAAAAGGATCCCAGAATGACTGGAAATACTGAGTATTTTATGGTTTTGCACCAAAACCCTCTAACACTATGTGATTTGCCCTATACATTCTTCCAAATTGATGTAGATCTGCATTCCACCAAAAAGGTCATGAGCCATTTAGTGACACCATCCCTTTAACTTGYTGCTTATTCTCAAACATGAATCTAAGTGTGATTTCAGCATTGTTTGGTGGATATATGGAACATGAGGCACCTCTTGATATCAGTTTTCAATAAGAGCACCCTTCTGGGCAGAGGAGCCTGTAGGTAAAGAAGTCTATTTCGATTCCAAAGTGGCAGCTGCCCAGGGATCRTGGGAGGAAGGACAGAAGAATATTGTGAATGAATTGAAAAAAACTGGAATATTTCTAGTCAAGGTGGAGATCAACTTCTTTGGGATAAATGACAGTGAACTGATAAAAAGATACTGGCYCTTTGTGGAAATGATACTCAACTCTTTAAATTGTTATAGAAGAGTGACTGGTTCTAACTCAATGTAAATGATGCGTTAACAACCTATACATATTAAGAGTAGGCATTAAAAGAAGTAGCAGAGATTGGAARCTCAGTCTTCAGAGACAGCTGTTTGGATAATTAAACAGGTTCCCTTTGTAACAGTTTCTTCTTTCACATGCTCATTAATTCACATGATTTGCTGTAGTTCCCTGAGTCAATAGTGTTATGATAGCAGACCTGATATTTCTATTAGTGGTAAGAAAGCAAAATGCAAAAGTCTTTTCTTCAGGCATTACAATAGAGAGATAAATAATACTTGTTTCTCAGTTAAATGTTTACTAGGCTTTGAAAGCAGCCTCCTAAATGTCAAGATATGACTGTGGGCTTTGTGTTCTAGTTCATATTTTCAGACTGTTTTCTATACAAATCACTTCCTTTGTCACTTCTCTCTGCCAGCCTAGTCAGCTTCTTTACTTTTGTGCTCATCTGTTCAGTGCTTTCTTGTCACTCAGATAATGAGCTGCCTAGGCATGGGCTGTTGCTTTTGTCAATAGGTGAAGAGAATTTAGATAAAACAGTGTTGATCACTGACTGTAGAATTTTTTGTGCTGTAACACAACCATTTATCCTACTGTAAATAATAAGACCAGACACAAAAAYGAAGTCACATATATTTCCTGTGAATAAGTTTTCAGAGACTGAAATGCAAACAATTGAAATACTTATTTAAAAAAAAAAATAATTATAATAAAATATTTTAAAATTAGTTTATAAATACTTTGATGTGGAATATGAAAACAGCATCACTTCTGAAAAACCGATAATTTTACTCCCTTTCATGTTACTTTTCTCCATAGGGTATTTGGGGCAGCTATCTTTCTAACATCTACACTGAACATGATCATACCTTCTGCAGCAAGAGTGCATTATGGCTGTGTGATGTTTGTTAGGATTCTTCAAGGTCTGGTGGAGGTAGGAGCACACACCATTTTTGTCCTTTCAACGTAGTTTGATTTTGAGACCTGTTTCTAAAAGCTATAAAATCTCTTTTGATCAGGGTTTCTGATCAATATACGGTTTTACTTGATACTTACGTTTGGATGATAATTTTTTAATCATGCTGATTTATATTTCTAAGTTTACTTAAAAGTAAAGAAAAATCTAAGTTTCTGATGCTGCAATTTGAGCTATTTTAGTTTTATTGTGCCATCTGTGCTTATACTAAACAGCATTTTTACCTCAGAACATATTACTATTSAGGTAATAAATAATCCTGATTGGTTTGACATTTTCATACTCAAACAATCGAGCTGTTGCAGACTTACCTAACCCTTCCTACATCATTCCATGGTGACAAACAGCTAGACAGCATAGACAGTGTCAGCAACAACTTCAAGTGGAATGCAGTGAAAGCAAATCATGTGATGTGTGAAATGTCTGCCAGGGCGTCACCTATCCAGCCTGCCATGGGATGTGGAGTAAGTGGGCTCCGCCGCTGGAGAGAAGCAGGTTGGCTACCACATCATTCTGTGGTAAGTTGATGGGCTTGTATGGTTTATATTTTATGGTTTATATTCCTATTAGATTTATTTCATTACTTYCATTATTTAAAGGAAACATGCAAACCCTCTGCCATTTGCTACAATTAGCTTGTACTCTAAGCTTGTACTCTAAGCCTAGGAACTTGTGAGCCCTTTTCTGTTTAATATGTTATCTTTTCATCAAGACAACACTCAGAATGGCTCTCATAATAAACAAAAATGGTTTACAGGTTCATATGAGAGAAATTATATTGTATTTATTTGCTTCATCCTTAGGGATTCCATTTATTATTAACACTCAATGGATGTTCCTAAACAAGCACACACTTAAAAATTATCTTAAAAGGACTTCAGTCCGTTAGGCTGGCTGCTCAATATGCAGCAGTGGAGGTGATGTAACTTCTTGTCAGTAGCTGTTCTGCTTCGTTCTGTTTTGAGTTATGATCAGACATACACTTTGCTCTCTTCTCTGGGTCCCTTTCCAATGCTGACAGCTGAAGACGAATGTCTGTAGGAGGAAATGTTCAATAGAAAATGTAAAAGTCACAGGAAAAAAAAATCTGTCCATTCGCAATGGAGTTGTAAGACTAGGAAAAATACAGCACTAAAAGACAAGATAAAGGATAAAAGGAGGACTGAAGCAAGTGGAAAAAMCCCATGTTTATATATTATACAAATTTTATTTTTACAACATATGGCTTCAGGTTTTAGTGATTATTTAGGTGTTTACACTTCCTGCAGAAGAATAGACCAAAAGAAAAGACTCTCCACCCTCAGTGTTCTCTCGTTGAAATTCCTAACATGGGATCTCTAGAGAAAGATCCATCCTTYGGCTTGACACCAATTTTAGTGGCTACAGATCACTGATCCTTGYATTTGAAAGCTGCATAGGAACAATGGAAAAAATAAGAAAACCCAGGTTAAGCAGTTTCCTGGTTCTTCTATCTAAATTCTGGCCTGGGGCTTTTCTATTGCTGTAGGAAAAAAATAATTACATGGGGGTGAGGGAAAAGGATCAGTGTGAACCATTGCAGAGAAGGATTTGCTAATGAGTAGAGCATTAACAAATGTTTATGTACAAAACATGCACTACTCTCAAAACCACAAATATCCAATTTCCTAGAATAACTCAGAGCAACACTCTTCACATATAAAACCACTGGGACTGTGTTGCACTGAAACCTAATGTCTAGATKGCACTTAAATACTCATCTCTTTCCACGAGACATTTAGAAATATATTTCACCAGTATTATGTATTTCCCAATAAGAAACCTTGGCACAGACCATATTTTAAGCCCTTTTTACCCCCCTGTCAACATTTGCCTATTTATTCCAGCTGTTTGTTTATGCTGTTGATATGAATTGAACATGGTTACACAGACTTGGGATTGGTTTGAACACTGTCTCTGCTACCAGTGCTTGTGTGGTCATGGGTCTAGAGCCATGACAAGAGCCTCCCCATGTATCTGCAGTCATCAGGATTCCTCAATATCATGAAGGCTTGTGAAACTTGAATCACTAGCTTCTCCAAAACTCACCTCATACACCACAGGGCTAGGTGGGATTTCCCAYTCAAGTGCACACATATAGCTTATGCCTCTGTGGTGGTTTGTGATCAGTCTTGGATTTGCAAATCCTGTTTACCTACAGGGCACAACTCTGCAAAATGAGACTGGTGACCCATGAGGGGTCAGTGTTTCATCACCCCAATAAAAACTTTGGAGCTTCTGTCTCCATGTTCATAAAAAAACCAGCCAAACACACCCCTCCAGTTCTGCTCACATGAGCAACTGCCTGRGTCATCTGCTCTGAAATCTGGGCACACCTATCATGTGAAGTGTGTAGCTGACATGTTACCAATCTGTTTCTCTTCAGGGTCTTACGCAGGTGCGGTGGTCGCCATGCCCCTGGCAGGTGTGCTGGTACAGTATATAGGATGGTCATCTGTCTTTTATATTTATGGTGAGTTGCCTAACATGAAGGACCTCTGCCACCAGACTGGTAATGTCAGTTTTACTTAAACCTGTCTAACAAGTATGGATCAAAGTTGTTTTGATGAATTAAGAGATTGCAGATGGGTACTACAATTTATTCTCTACTCCAATTTATTATTGCAGATTCTGAGAGTTTTCATTTCATAATCACGTTTTACAAAAGGCTGTAAAATTGTAATGAACAGGCTGCAGCCAATGGTCACCCAGTGACAAAACTGGATGCAGTTACAAAGGTTCCTCTGCAGCACAAACACTCACGTGGGGCCTGCCCCACGGTGCACACTGACAGCAAATGCTACAGTGAATGCTGCCAATGGGGAGCCAAATGGACCTGAAAGCTTCTGTCCCGAGAAATCTTCCCCATGCTGCCCATCTTTAGTAAAGCAGTGCCCTCTTAACAAAGWGGTCCCACTACATGGGTATGGTCTTGTGGCTGATCCATGGCGCCTCATTCTTTCCCTCACAGTGTGTGGCAGAGGTGGCTCCAGCCCAGACTTGCACAACAGCAGCCCAGATGGGCTTTTCCTGGTCCTGACAGACCACAAGATTTGCCATTGCCTTCTTATAGTGAGGTCTGTCCATGCAGACTGTGGCCACATTACGACCTGTCTGCTTTTTTCCTTCCCCCAGTTCTACAGAGAGCTTTCCTCCTGCCTTTTCTTTTCTCCATGCATAACATGTAATAAAAATGTAATAAAAATCCTCAAATGCTTTGCAAGCAGGCTTACAATACACACAGAGTTGATTGCCCCATTTCGTTACTTCCCTGGGAATAACTTCTATGCAGATTTGGTTCAACTGGCACTTGAAACAAAATTCAAGGCTTGCAGATACTGAAGTGTAGTTTATTGGCWTTTAAAACAAAGTTGCTTTGCCTCTGCAGGAATGTTTGGGATTGTTTGGTACGTGTTCTGGCTGCTTCATGCCTATGAGAGCCCTGCTRCTCATCCAACAATAACCAGTGAAGAAAGGATATATATAGAAACAAGTATAGGAGAAGGAGCCAGCCTACATAATGCAAGTGTGAGTAAAAAGACTTTTCTTGYTGTCATTTGTGAGCACTTAGCTCACAATGAGATAAGCATGTGACTGGAAGGGTACTGTTGGCTGAATAAGAAGCTGCTCTACTCACTCTCACATGGCTCAGGTGCTTTAAGACTTCTCAGCCTCTCTCTGAGAAGATCCTGTAAGATTTGAGTTAAACCCTATTTTCCCATCAACTTCTCTGCATTCTCTTAGGTAACTTTTTTGCCAGTAGTGGAAAAAAAAGGTGATTCTTGATGAGCTGTTCATTCTTAGCTTTTGGTTTTGAACATGCTGGAACAAATGTGTAACTCGAGTTCTTTCCTCTTTGGGTAATAACCTTGCTAAGAGTGTAAAATACTTTTGGGCATGCTTCTGAAGTTTGGCTAAAGTCACTCAGGTCTTGGCTGGAGACACACATACACACATTGTTCCAGGTCGTGGATTTTCCCTGCAGTATGGTGGTTTTACTGCAGAGGAAACTAGTGCAGCCTTCATGGGTGCATGCACAACCACATGCATACGGTGGCCTGTAGAACACAGTTAACATGTTTTTCAAAAAAAAAAGGGAGAATGTCAATGTGTATTGCCAWAACTACAAATTCCAGCTTCTGACTGGATTTCTATTATAAATCAACAGATCCCCAAAGTATGCTTCCTGCTGTATGGAACATTGGAGCATACATACTAATTGAAAATGCCAAAGCAAGTTAGAGAAATTAAATTCTGTACCACAGGCCTTTTTTTTTCTGAATTAAATTAATTAGGGTGAAGAAAAGAGCTGCTTGTTGCTGCACTACTGCATGTCTCTTAGCTTAGACAACCCTTTTTTTAATGCTCCTTTCAATAGACTATCTCAAACTGCATCATGCCAGAATGCGGGGAATGGTGCAAGGTTTTCGCTACTTTTCTTTGATTCTTTTGCTGATCCTGTTATCCCAATAGCAGGATTCCAGAAGGCCTCGTGTAATTTCAGTAAGTAGGGTAATAGTAGTGCAGTATTCATCTTAAAAATACTAATTTTTCTAAGAAAATTTCTCTAGCTGTTTTTTTTTTTGCATCTGTGATGCAAGATGCTTGCAATGTATCAGATAGGCTTGATAATAGATACCATCTCTTTATTTTGCCTCTGTCCACCCAATTTTGTGGGTATTTTTTCCCCTAGAAATTTAGCACTCCTTGGAAGAGATTTTTCACTTCAATGCCAGTTTATGCAATCATTGTGGCAAACTTCTGCAGAAGCTGGACCTTCTATTTGCTCCTTATAAGTCAGCCTGCTTACTTCGAAGAAGTCTTTGGATTTGCAATAAGCAAGGTAAATRTCTGAGGTGAAGCAGTGACCTTCAGACCTCACCCTAGGAGATGCAYCARGGRAGGTTCAGGTTGAACAWCAGGAAGAATTTCTTCAYTGAAGGGGTGGTTAAACATTTGTAGAATTATATCATGATGCCACATTTTATGCTGTATGGTCTTCAGTCCACATGCAATGTGCAGGTGCTTCCTTCCTTTTACACAGTGGCAGGTTACAGGGGTAGATTTGTTATTCAGGAACTCCTTGAGAACATAAATAACAAAAATATATAAAAGCAGTTGAAAACCAAGACTTCTGCACTTCAATATCAGRACACATCAGACAGGGCTTTGTGTTGTCTACAATAGAATTTAATATAAACTGTCCAGTGCAACTCCATGAGTGCTAGGGATATTGCAKGGCATTTCKAAGCTGAGATTYTCACTTGTGCTCTGRTTTCTCCTCCTGGGGCCATAAAGAGATGTTTCTTCYATCACCCACTTTTGAACATCTGCTCTAATCAGATAAAGTGTCTGATGTAGGGGAAAAGAGGTGAAGAAATGTTATGGTTCCTGTTATCTTGCCCCTAAATCGTGAAGGGAAAATGACAGTAAGCTCTCATTTGTCTAATTGCAGGTTGGCCTTTTGTCAGCAGTTCCTCAYATGGTCATGACAATCATTGTGCCCATTGGAGGGCAATTAGCTGACTTCTTACGGAGCAGGAAGATCTTAACYACTACCACCGTAAGGAAGGTCATGAACTGTGGAGGTATTGTTGGATTCTGAAAATATGACATTTCAAAATGAAAATATGACTGTGTGCTGCAGTTGATGCAAGTATCATAGTGTAGTCCATATTTAATTGTAACAACAGACAATTTACTCAAGATTGCATTAACTCAAGATTGCATTCAATGGTTACTCTGAAGCAGAGCTGACGCCTCATGACATAAATCCTTACTCATATGAGCATGCTTTTAAAAAGGGAGGAGGCAAGAAGCATGGTTAATTGAAAGGGCAATAGAAAAGAATGATCAAATAGGCCTCATCCTGCAAACCCATACAGACAAACTTAACCCTGTATCATGGTGCTGGAAGAGACTCTTTCCCACCGGATGCAGTCTTGCAATAACTGGCCATATTCCCATTTGCTATTTCCAGCAGGACCCACTGACAAGTTTAGGCTGGAAGGTTCATTTGCGGGGGTAGGAAGTGAAGGATGGGCAATATCATTTTAACACAGCACAAAATAGTTCGTTTCCAGTTCAGTCACTGAACTGAAAAATCTGTGATGTGTAGGGTTGAGACTGAATTAAAGATTTCAAGCCAGTTAGCCTGTGAGGTAGTGTTCTGCTGCCAGTTGCTGGCTTGTTGTATTATCTATAGATGGCATGGGCTTCTAGAAATAGAGATGCCTGCAATCAGTGATACCACACAACTTGGCTATGCATCTTCAGAAAGGATGATCAAATTCATTGTATTTTCAGGGCATATTAATAGTGTCATTAAAACAAAACAAAACAGAGGGATTGTAATGTTGTACATTAGAAAATGTTAATTTGCAGTAATGGCAGAAACTGGAAGTTCCCTGTAATGCTCAGGGCTGTTGTGTTGGTAGCACATTTGTATGTAAAATGCTCTTTCATTCTATTTAACAAGAATATCTTGCATCACTGTAACTATGAGAAATAAAAGGCAAGTGTTTTTCTCCTTTACCTATAATGTTTCTGAATTTGTGATTTTTTCTGCCTTTTGAACAGTCACTTTGTCATTATTTTCCTCTATTACTCAATGAATTGACTTCACCAATTGTTTGTCATTTACACAGTAATGAATGAGGGGAAAGAATATATTCTCAATAAAATATACTAATATTTTTGAAAATGCACCAAGCTCTCAAGTATGTTTAAGAATGTCTAAAAGATAGGAAAGAATTATCTCACATTTTAAGCTGCTATTCTGGATAGTGCTTATTAGTATTTTCATGACCAATAGAAATTTAAATGTAATTCATTCTCATRTGCTTTGTCTGAAGGCTTTGGGATGGAAGCAACCTTGCTTTTGGTGGTTGGTTATTCTCATACAAAAGGTGTGGCTATTTCCTTTCTGGTGTTAGCAGTAGGCTTCAGTGGCTTTGCAATTTCTGGTAAGAATTAATCTTATTCTTGCTTTTGCTGTGATGAAAATGATGTATTATCCTCACTGTTCATTCTGTCATAATTTCTGTTATTATGTTTACTCTTGATGTGGCTACTTATGGATTGCTCCCCATTTCTTCGCATATCAGAAATAATTGACTTCAGCATCTATGACACATGTTGCACACAGGACGTGAAGCTTTGAAAGAACCTGCTCTTTATTGATTCCAGTTTACATCAGCTTTCTGCTGTTATTTTCTAATATACCTTTACACTGTCAGTCACCTTATCATCCTATTTAACTGTAACCCTGAAAATAGAGACAGATTGTGAGGGAAAGAGAGAATTATTCTGCAGTGAATAGTTGCACAAGGACTATCAGTTGCAATCCTGCCCCCAGCCCTAGCACCTTGTTTCTGCTTTCTGTGTCAGCCCACCCTCTGTTGCAACTTAAAACCAGCCCTTCTCTAGAAGATATTTCTAACCCTTTCATGGGTCTCACTCATGTTTTGTAGTCTCAGGCTGTTTTGTAGCACCATCAGTGCCAGCATTACTGAAAAARATCCCCTTTTGTTATGAAGATTGAACGTAAACATCTTCCAAGAAGACTGCCAAGAACATGGATCTATTAAACAAAATTTACCAGCAAATTTAACTGCTGATCCTCAGTTGTTTCAGGATTCTGCAGATGGGAAGTGGTTTTGCTGTTCAGTTATGAGGTCCTTGCATAACTGGCCATTTCTATCAATCAATTTTTATTGCAGGATTTTCCCAGTTGTCTACTTCTTACTTTATTTAAAACTAGGCACTTGGGATTCATTGTCATTTTTTTGTGATCAACTATACTTCATATGACTAATTTTCATTACTTAAGGAGTGACCATTATCTAACCTTATATTTAGTATTGTTTTTATTTCTYAATAAAATATGTACTCAAAAGACACACTACAGTAAAGGTAATGATTTTTCCCACTGGTTTATATTTTGTTTGTTTTTTTTTTTTTTAAAAAAATCAAAAAACCTACTACTAAACACTGAAAAACATGAATTAAAAACCGTTACAACCTAGGTAAAGAGATAGCAGACATTTGACTAATATGAGATATTGATTCCTTAAATAAAAATATTTGCCAAGTGCACTGTTTCCGTATGAGAAAATAACAAGTACAGGCACTTTAAACTTTAAATGAAGCCGAATCAAGCTTTATTTTCCATATAATCTCCAAAGGTGGGGGCAAGGAAGGGGGTTTGAAAAATAATAGGTATGGAGTGTTTTGTTATGTCTGGGCAGATTTAAGTTGGATATTATGAAAAGGTTTTTCACCCAGAAGATGGTTGGGCACTGGAACAGGCTCCCCAAGGAAGCGGTCACAGCACCAAGCCTGACAGAGTTCAAGAAGTATTTGGACAAGGCTCTCAGACACTGGGTGTGATTCTTGGCGTGCCCTGTGCAAGACCAGGAGCTGCACTCAATGATCCTGATGGGTGCCTTCAAACTCAGGATATTCTATTATTCTATGATATTTATCACCAAGATAACCCTACCATCCTTTCTGAGATATGTAATAGAGTGTTCCTACCCGTTCAGGCCCCTTCAGCCAGAATGGCTGTAGAAAACCCTGCTGGCCTGGTGTTGCAGTGCTGTATAGCTGACTGTTATCTCCCATTTTTTGAAGGATTCAATGTGAATCACTTGGACATAGCCCCACGTTATGCCAGCATTCTGATGGGGATCTCCAATGGCGTTGGGACTCTGTCGGGAATGGTGTGCCCACTCATTGTCGGTGCGATGACAAAACATAAGGTAACATGTCTCCCTCTTTTCTAGGAAAAGTGTTGGTAATGCAACAAAAGTTAAGACATTTCAAAGATTCCTGGGGATTYCATTTTGTCACTGGTCTCTGAAGCTGTGTTCTGTTTGTCTTAAACATGCACTTTTTTAATACTCTTGTGGCCTGATTCTAAACTATTATAAACTARTTACCTGTGTAGGGAGATATTATTTTCTACCCCCTCAACCTGAGTCTCTGCAACATCTCCATACAACTGTCCAATGCCTATAGGACTTGGAAAATTCCTCTGCAATGAGTTCATACCCCCATGGAAGGGTTCCTAAGCCATCACTGATCCACAAACATATTTATGCAGTTAGAGAAATCCCTGTATTTCCAACTCCATTAATATTTCACATGAAAGAGAGAAACTTCACTGTGAGAGAAAAAAATAGCAAAGAAACACAAGTTTTATTATATTTGCTGTAGTTATAAAAATTAAAAAATCTTTGCAATAATTTGCATAAATTGTTCTGTCTTCAGCATCAGGAATCAGACAGCGATCACTGTCATTCCTCCATATATGCTAATTCATGGTCTAAATCAGACAGTAATATTTCCTGTTACTGGAAACTTATTGAGACCTGCACCATTCTTTCAGACCCGTGAAGAGTGGCAGAACGTCTTTCTGATCGCAGCCCTGGTGCATTACAGTGGCGTGATATTCTACGCTATCTTTGCTTCTGGGGAGAAGCAGGAATGGGCTGACCCTGAAAACCTCAATGAAGAGAAATGTGGCATAATTGATCAGGATGAACTGGCTGAAGAAACAGAGATGAACAATGAAACTTTTGTAAGTCCAAAGAAAACGTATGGTGCTACCAGTCAAAATATTGAAGTACAGAGAAGGGAATGGAGGAAGCAACAGCAAGTAACAGAAGATATGGAGGAACAGACTTCTTATCATTACGAAAATGGAAATTTTCAGGATTCATCTTAATACTTGAAACTGTAAGATTTGTATAGCAGCTACTCCCATGACTTCTTCTGCCTAGCTGCCCTGAATCATCAGGTATCCATATTCATTTTCTTATTCAATTATGTAAYATCTGGCCACATGGCTAGATTTGAGGGGCGATAGTTCCCTCCTAATGGTGTGTAAGAGGGCTAACGACAATGGGACCGTGATAAGTGTTCCTAAATCCTTTCCCAGCCATTGTATGACCTTAGGAGAGCTTCTGTGCCAGTTAGATGACCTGCCCTGGCAGAGTTCCTGCTTGATGCAAGCTGTAGAACTGACTTAGGAACAAGGAGTTCTCTCATTGAACAGAGAAAGGACAAGTGGTATCAGATGGTGGATCCACAATGATCTGTGTAATCCCTGGGTTTCCAGTGGTGTGATAGTCTGCACTGAGTGCCCATGCTTTGCCTTTCTAGGATTCCTGTAGGGTGGCATTTGAACTGCTTAATCCATGTCAAACCAAAAGCTCATGTTAAAAGATCAGAGMACAGGGAAAAGCAATTTGTGACAATAGGCTGTAATTAATTACTAATGGTCACTCATCAAGGGGAAGTGGAACAAGTAGCAGAGGTGGCACAGGATTGCTTCAACAGTTCCTACAAATTGATTGACAGATATCTTTATATGCACAGCCTACAGAGTATGGATAAGACAATAAAATGGATACTTGTAACATTTCTCCCCCTTGAAAGATTTTGTGCTGGCATGAAATAATTTTGAATRCAAAATCATCGTTAGTGATGCAATATTATTAATCCTTAAGACAGGAAATCYTAGCCTGTTTGATTAGCATTCTCACTCAATTCATTATTGTGAAGTAATTTAAATATATTTTTCTAGTATTATACTGWTAGAGTTCCTGGTCTCAATATTAACAGTCCTCATTTAGGTGAATGAGCTTACAGGAGTAAAATTCTGGATCTGGAACTTTTCACTGCCTCAATCTTGGTCTCGCTATGAATGAAGCACTGTACCATTTGACAGTTAACAGGCTACTTATGTATAAAAGTAATTAATTTTTGCCATTGGTATATGTTTGACAGTACAAAGTGGCTTTAGCCTTTTTCTACCATTTTTCGAATCAGCCAGTGGAGCATGCTGTATCATCTCAAACAGGTAACTTCAACTCAGAGACTCATTGTGGCACTACTTCTTTCAGAATGGATAACTTCAGTAAACTGTGATTTAATTTGTCACCCATTATGACTACTGYCCCATTAAATTCAAGTGTAAGCTATCTTGTCTAGCCTATGCTGTGCTTTGTAATGTTTCAGTATCATTGTTCTCATGTACCATATGCAGCCACTGTGATGCACAGAAGATTCAAACATTTCTCAGATGCGTTTTGTTATTTTATTGAAGTGCAATTGAATAGTATGAGTGAAATTGCATTTATACATTCCTTTGAATACATGGATGATTTATCTTCCCTACAAACAGGGATATTGGGAAGTGASCTAATTCTCTGTTCACATCTCTTGTTTCTCTTTTACTGAGCAAAATCCAAATGCATCAAAATCCAAAGTGTATGAATAAGAAGGAAAGTAATTTGAATGGATACATGACTCATTTGACTACAGTGAAGACTTTTTAATGGGTAAAAGCAGATAATTTAATGAAAGAGGTAGTACAGGTCAAACCTGCTTTAAAAAAACCAGTTTCTTAGTAAACCACTCCAAAATAATCTTGTAACTTTATTCTGTTGAGTCAGAAAAGAATACTTTTTTTCTTTAATTCAAAACTTTAGTTTAGACTAGAGTTGGTTATTTCACCTTCTGATACTTAGAATGGATATAAGAAAATACCTTAATTCTTGTAGGTTATAGTCAGCATGTAGGGATTTAATTGGCAGCAACTTGAGTCAAATGTTCTCATCAGTCTGTCATAATAGCATGACTAGCTGCTGTCAAACTGTTTTGCAACAWCCACTACAATTGACAAAGGAAAGAAGACCACTGCTTTGCATATGTGCAAACAGCTTCTTCCTCCCTCTCCAATAATGTAACATTCATAGAGTTGCTACAAGAATTCTAATAGGGAAAGTTCTGTTATGAAACGATTTAATAAAAGAATCTGTTTAAATATTATCTGATAGAGAAAAGAGTAGACAACGTATTAATCTAGAAACCGTAACATTTGCTTAGAATCAGCATAATTTTTCCAGTAATGATGAAGGGCAACTTTCCTGTCATTAGGAGGAACAAAGAGAGTGAATGTTGTTGTTATGATAAAGAGCTACAAATCCCAAAAGTTTAAGAAGTGGTCAGCTGGGCCAGGAGAGCCCCGTTGCCTCTCTGGTGAATGTAGCTGTTATTTTTTACTGTTGCAGATGCACCACAGCTGTCACAAGTGACAAGTCACAGCTCAGTTTAGCAGGATCATTTTGTATCCACAAACAGACTGCTCTTATTTATTCAGTGGAAGTTTGACTTCAATGGACATTTGWGCACTATTTAATACCCTGAAAGAAATGGTTTAAAAACATCTGGACAAGCTTTTGCATTTAAAAACCGCTTTGGTTTCTTTTTTGAATTTAATTGTTTCCACTAACCCAGTATCAACTCTTAGCAGTTGAAGTTACACCCATGTCACAGTGCTTTTCCAGGCATTCATAGTCAGATGTTTGGGCTGCCTTTCTCCCTTTCCTTTTCATCTGTTTAAATATTTCAGGTGCATTGCATGAAGTGTAAACATCAGCACTGGTTGGAAACGAGCTTTTTCTTCCTGGAAATCTCTGTACTTGATCAACTCTTTGATTTACACAATGGCTTCCACAACCCTGTATGACAAAGAATAAAGACAACTTACTGAGARCAAACTGACTTTGTAACTTTTGCTGGATGTTTCTATCTGTAACATGCTCCAATAGAATTTTCTTGTAGAGTCGAAGGAAGCACAGTCACTGAGGGTGTTTTTTGTACAAACTGACTTGTTAATATATGTTTAAACTTGGAACATTAAAACAATCAGGGAAACTGGCATATCCCACTCAGACTTGTAAAAAATCATGTCTAATTGTAGTGGATGTAAATAAATCAAATTCTATTTTCTATGGAGAAAAGCTTGATTTAACWGCATTTATCACATTGTTTGAATATTTTTCTGTCCTCATGTTCATAAATTTTGCATATTTTCAAATATGACARTACTCATATAAGTCAGAGTTTGATTTGAAAGTGGCTTTCTGATTGCAGAAGGAAGCARAATCTACTTTACACTGGAATTCAGATCTTAAGTAAACAAAAGGAAGATTCAGCTTTCCATAATTTGAAATGGTAGGATAGTCCAAAGAATATGAATTCAAGTCTGAGGGGAGAAAAAGCAGTACAGTAAGTCTCAAGAATAAGTTTTTGATCTATTGATCTTTCCTAACAAAGAAAGCTGTATTTTATTTATTTATTTGACAACTTGGATTTTTAGTCACTACTAGCAGAAGTTTAATGATATTTACTATTTCTCTTATATTTTGATAAGAGTGAAACAAAATGTTCTTTGTTAGTGACAGGAACAATGAAAAATTCACCTGAGCAGGAATTTCTCTAGGGAAATAATTACTTAGTCCAAAAGAATGTACAGACTTTGGGGTGAAATCATAACAAAGGCATCCAGATGTTGAGACAGTGCCAGGAGGAGTCTCATGTATAACATAATTAACTGAAAGAAAGGTAAAAAATAACTCAAGGTCATGCAAAATGTGTTAAGGCTTCATATGTGTATTTCCAACTGACTTCTTTTGACAGTTAAAGAAATCTCTAAGTTCAACTGTTATTTTAAGGAAAATTTCATAAAAAAACAGATTTGTTATCTTATTTTTCTTTTAATTTTCTTAACTGAAGATCCTTATTTTAGACTTCTATTTAATTATTCATAATTTAAGAGAGAGGATTATTTCTTTTGAAGAATAGAAAGGAGAATAGAGAAAAAGAGAAAGCAAATTACAGCCACAAGGCAATGCAGACTGAGGAGGGATAAGAAATCAATTTTTGAATCCTGGAAACAGAACTTGGAGTTCTCTACATTTCTGAGTTAAAAACCTTCAGAATGGGCCAAGATTTAATATTCTGTATCATCCTGGGATCTAGGGAAATTACTCAGGTCTCATGTCAAAGCTTAATTCTCATGAAATCAGGAATGAATGGAGAGATTAAAAYCTCATTYTTATGCCTTCCAAATGYCTATGTTGRATAAGACAACAYTGCTGGAAATGTAAACCTACTAATACTATTGCAGCTCTATATGTMCATGCTGAAGACAGTCTGACAGGCTTCTTTGTAAAAATGCTTTCAACTACTTTCACACTGGTATCGGTTATTTCTTAACTTCCATTTGATAACAGTGTTTAGATGTGACAGAAAAAAAATTGTCCCTTTTTATCTCAATTTTTTTTTTGGTTTTGTGTTTATACTGCTTATCATTTTTACAGTTCTTCTGCAGGCAAAATTACGTAAGTAAAGAAAGAAATTTATGTAAGAAATGTTGTGAGATTGTACTTCTTCATGTTGAACTGTCTGTAACATAATAAAAGCCAACACATTTTTTCCAAAGAAGCATAATATTTGRGTATTTTAAGTCTTGATCATAATAAAAACTTAACCTATTTAATTTGTTGTCCCCATCCCAGGGATGTTTTGCACTCCTCCTCAATTTAATTACTGTATTGCATATCTGCAGCAGCTAACAGATGCATTTGTTTACGTATAACTGTATTTATCTGCTCAATAAAATCAGTGCTCAGATGCTGTAAAAACTTTTGACAACTATTTTGCTCCTTGTTTTAGGTTTAGTTTTACCTGCATGACAAATGCAGAACTCCTCTGAGCAGGTCGTGGCTGTTTTGTCAAATACATGTCAGGAAAACACTGGAACTCATGAAAAATACATCTCCATTGGTTCAGAGTTTTGGTTGTCYAGACGTGTCTGACAAATCTTTGAAGCACCAGCCAGGAAGACAGCAACATTTGTAAACCAGGAAGTATTTGACTACGATAAAGATACCTCTGCTCTCTGGAGGTGGCAGTCATCATCAGAAGCAACATGACAGGTGCTTTCTCTGGGCAGGGAATAACTCTAATGAACAGCAGAGGAATTAGTGGGAGAAACTKGCTGAAACAGTGATTAAGATAAGGGAAATGGGACTTTCTTTTCTTTTAAGGAGGGGATTTTGATCCCATCTGCTTGTTCCCTACCCCAGCCCTGGTGTGTAATCAAAAGAAAGATGTCTGCAGGTCCTGAGAGACCCAATTTGTCTCTTGGCAGTGATCAGTTGCTCACTTTGTATGGGTACAAATTTGCAGTGGGCTGGAAGTGGCTTATGGGCCCTTGCTGATTTATGTTGGGTAAGGGGAAATCATAGTACTAACATGAAACTTGAATTTAGATGTCAAAGAGATTAACATTAAGGACAAGCAGTTGAAGCAGAATCAGTGTGAATGGATGTAATGTTATTCCTGTAGAATAACGCTGTTCTGTGGGGCAGACACAGTCAACTGGGAGTAACCCCAGCAGGTAGGTTCTCCCTCAGCAAGGGAGTGAATGGTATAACTTCTGTCCTTCACTGTTCACTTCCCACTTCCCAGTACCCCATACTGGCTGCAAGTTTACCTGTAACAATTCTTGGACAGTGTAGAAAAGTCCTGCAGACAGACCAGACCCTTATCTTTACCTTGTATTTTCTTGTGTTCATGAGCGGCTTCCCCTGACCCTTGCTAACTCATGGAATGGTATACAAGACACCAGGGCAATCCAGAGACAAAATTAACAAGGGTTTACTTTTTAGTTTTTTGTTTGTTTGGTTGGGTTTTTTTTTTGCTATGAAGTGGCAGATTTTGTGCCAAGGTTGCTGGCAGCAGTGGCTGGAACCGTGGGTCCATGGTGGGCAGATGAAATATCACCCTGACTGGCCAAAGGTCAAGGCCATGCTGGCCTGTCCTGCTCCCTCTGCTCTGCCAGAGCACACAAGGAACTGTCACGCTTGTAGGGGGCTGATGGGCAAAGATCCTGACAAACCTGGAGGGGAGCTGCAGTCAGGATCTCTGTCCCCTGCCCTTGTTGGCTGCCGGTGTACAGGAACTGTCAGACCATAAGAAATATCTGATGTTCCCAAGTAATTTTCTTATTTCCTCATTCACAGTCTTACTATTCCCAAGGAGCCACCTCTATTCCAGTTTCATGGGAAACAGTGAGCAGTTTAAAATGCCCCTTGTCAACTGGCATCTTCTKCTGTTGTATTTACTCGGCACAAGGKAACACTCCCAAGCCTGGAGTTCATTATGCATGAGTGCTCCCAGTCCAGCCCCCCTTCACTGCTCTTGAGCTGTATCTTTGGTCCATGCATCCCTCTTGCTCCCTCCTTCTACCCAGGTAGTGGTAAGTGCCCCAATCCAGGAAACATTCAAGGTCAGAGCCGATGGGGCTCTGAGAAACCTGGTCTAATTGAAAATGTCCCTTCTCACAGCAGGAGCCATGGACAAGATAAGATTTAAAAGGTCTGTTCCAAACCAAACTATTTTATGTTTCTATGATTCTATGATTCTATAACTCTTGTGCAATTCTTTGTCTTTCAGAGAAGATATGGTGCTCACTCATGCCAATTATTGGGAAAGAGAGTACCTCAAAAGCATCTGGCTTGTCAA